TATTCATATATTTATTCCTACGACTTATGAGTTATAGCGTATAAATACCGCAAGCGTGTCGCCGCAGTAAACAATACGCGCGTCGGACGTATAGTGAAAGAAAAACAAACAGCGGTCGTGGCGGTTAGACGCACAGCATTATACCTCGTGTGGCTCGTAGCTGGGGCTATAAAACATAAATATATATTAAAATATGTGTGATACGTACAGATGGGTACCTGCGTACGTACCTGCAGTAATTTAACGCGACCGCAAAATACACGTACGCGCAATAAACCGCGAGCTGGCAGGCTAGGGCAGTGTCGGCCGTGTAGTGCACCCATATATAATAATATTATTACTGTTATTACTATTATTATTATTATTATTATTATTATTTATAGTCGGGGATATTATACGGTCAAAAACATCGATCGAGCAATATCGCGTTACCGCGACCGTGGTCACGTCATAACCGTCGTCGTCAACTTCCCATACACTATACCCACACGCACAACCGTGTATAATATTTACGTGTCACGGGTGTACATGTGCGTATGTTCTGCTTTCGCAAGTCCGCAGACCGCAAAACGTAGGTACTGCAGGACATACGAGGTTTATACGAGCATACAATATTATGTGTATGTATTTTATTAATTTATTACATACACTCGGAGCTCGGGACTCGTAGCACTTAAAATCATTAAAATAAGCGCTCAAAAACATCATAATAAGCACTCTCAAATAAGTATTTAAAAAACTTAAATTTGAGCAAAAATATTTGATAAAAAAAAAAAAAAAAAAAAAACTTTTTTTTTAAAAAAAAAAAAAATAGGTTAAAAAAAAAAATTGAAACGTGCAAAAAAAACTAAAATTAAAGATAACAAAAAAAAAAAAAAAAATGATTAAGAAAACTTTCCAACTAAAAAAATCAAAAAAAAAAAAAAATAAATAAATCTTTATATCATAAAAAAATCAAACTTCACTTTCGAGACACATTTTACCTTATTATTTTTTATTCTATCGTAAACAAAATAGCAAGAAAAAACCATAAAAAGTAGAAAAACTGGTCAAAAGAGTAAAAAAAAAACACTTTCAAATTTCATAATTGAACTTGTTTGTAACGTGACATACCTACACTTCCATTCCACTCTGCTACATTTTAAGTCAATCCATAAAAATAAGCAAATGCTTCAAGTCCCGAGCCCTGTCAGAATGGACTCATAGTACCTCTTATATAATATAAAAGGTACCACGAGCCCTGTATATAGGAGGTACCAGCTATTAACCTGTGAATATGCGCTGCACTTGTACGTTTGGCGAAAGTTCGACGACAAAACACGTAAACATTAGTCGAGACGACCTTCCAGAAGAGATTTAAAATCACATTCACACATACATATATGTATAACTCTATCCGTATATTGTATGCGACTGACGTTGTACAAGTATTATACAGGTAGGTAACAATGAAAGAAGACGTCACACGCACGCGTCCACCGAACAAGAACGACACATAATATGTGGATATACGTACATCGAATTATAACGTCAATGTCACGGTCACGGTTTATTTATGGTTTTTTTTTTTAGTTTTCAATCGAATTTATTTTTTTGTTAATATATTGATCTACAATCTTTGCCATAATCTCGCTCTACTCGATATTTGTGGGAAATCGCAATTAGAATTTTTCGTCTCGTCAGATAAAGTTTTTCATATGATTTTCGCCTTTGAAAACAAAATACCACATTACACAGTAATGTATAATTATCTGTTATATTAAAAAACCTAATTTTTGAATTTTTATTTTATTAATATTTTTTAAGCATACTTAATGGAGTTTTTGTATGTGTGTGTGTGTGTGTGGTGATGAGGGAGATAAAATTATAAAAATAATATTATATCTTAAAACGTCTTATCATGTATAATATTCATAATTCATTTAAAATTTGTTTTACATGTTTAATGTGTTCGCGATCACTATGAGATGATAATATTAATTATTACCTATGTAATCACCAGTAATTAATTGACATTACACTCTAATATTGATAAAATATTTATAATATTTATTATATTTATTAGTTAATTTAAACGGAAAAATTCTAAAACTAAAAATACAACAAACATTTGACAGTTATTATTGATTTCGAAAATATTAAAAACTTGAATTCTAATTAGTATTATTAACTAATTTTAGATTCTGCGTAGAACAATGAATTTATTGATTTTACAGTGAAACATGTGTGTGTTATTTTAAATACATAGTAGACAAAATGATTTGATTTTTTAATTTATTTTTTTTTTTTTTGTGATTGAAAAATTAATCTTATTAGTATTCTTGGAAAGTAAAAATTTAAAATGTCCATTACTTTTATTAATTAACTATTTGGAAAAATAAAAATTAGAAAAAAAGAGATTTTTTATGAAACCCAATTTTTGATTAAATTGGTTTTGTTATAGTTGAAAAATGTATGACCATAGTTAAGTACTTGACATTTTAACTAAATGTTCATACTAGGATTTTCTATTTAAGGTAAATTTTCAAATTATTTTGAGCTACTTAAACACATTTGAAATTTTATTTTTTTTTTACCCAATCAAATGAAGTATAAGTTCCTCACAAGTTAGTGTAAATAAAATAAAAATTGTGTATAACCCATAGTAACGAGCGTTTGTAGTTAAAATTTTTACAAAATTCATTAAAATCACAAATATATGCAAATTATTTTGTACAAGGTTAAAGATTTATAAAATGTTCAATTTTAAAGCTTAAGCTTGAAAATTTAATACACAGTTCCTCGTAATTTATAAATAAATCACACTGGTGCCAAAAAATTCTAAAAAATATACTGTCACATTTTTTTTTTCTTATAGATATTTTAAATTCAAATTTGTAATACGATATTAGATATTTAAACGAATTACAACAATTTTGATAATTTTTTTTGTAATTCTGAAATATTTTTAATGGAAATTTGAAACTTTTACCTATATGTTTTATATTATTATATTTTATGTAAGTACACAGTTCAATTTTGATAAATTTTATGTTATTTCCTATTTATAATATAAACTTCATCATACTGCTCTATGGCCAGACTAGGTTTGGATTTACGAGTATATCTACTAAGTATTCACTATTCACTCAAAAGCAAATAATTATAATACCTTTATAATTTTAATGTATAATATTATAATAATCAAACATTAATAACATGATAAATGCAATGTTTTTGGAAAATATCAATTCAACCTACCGAATTACTTTAATAGTAAAATAAAAATTATTATAATAGTAATAATATAAATATTGCATAAAATATATTTAGCAATATACGTATAGGCTGACAGACTGTCTTCGCTCAGAACCATTTTTCATATCTTACATGAAATAATATATAATATGTTATATATATTTATTATTATTATATATTTATCGTTGAATTCAAATTTAACACATACATTATTGATTAACTCAATAACAACGTACGCTTGAAACTTACGTTGCATCCCTTATTCTCTTGTTTTTTTTTTCAAAAAAAGTTTTACTTACAATTTTAACTCTCAAAATTTGATCGGCATAAAGTAAGTGTAAACAACACAAATACATTTATGAAAATTATCTAATTTTTCAGAATTCTATTTATTAAACTGCCCAAGTATATTACAAACTCTTTATGGTATAATAATGTTACCTATATTTCCGGTTAATGTGCTTGAATTAAAAATACCGTTAATAATAAAAATAAAATTTTAAATATGATTTAATAATAATGTATGCTGCAGTTTATACTTAATACTATGACTTGTTTTGTAGCCGGTCATTTTTTATTTTTATTTTTTTCATTTTATGCTCGTTTCCTAATAATTTTCTTTTTATTTAATAATACATAATTATATTTATTATTTTCCGAGCAGACTGTGTATGGTTTATACAGATAATAATACAACAATATATTGTTTTTTTTTTTTTTGCTATCGATTCCAATAACATGTACAGGAGATCGTTTGGCGATTCGTTCTACAGCAATTTAGAACGAAAATCTTATACCTACCTACCTCATCCGAGAAGGTACGTGTTGGTTTCGATTCGCAGTTGTCTCAAAGTCTTGAATCGTGTCGTTTGCACTATTGTCTATAGAAGACATTGATTATCCAACTAAAAACGCGATTGAAATTATTTACGTTAACTTTCCTACGATTTAATGTCATTGCGGTCGGTTACTTTAACCAGCAGGCACCATATATTGTATTCAATTTGTAATGAAGTGGATTATATCGAATTTCACTCTAAACTAAAAGCCTTAAAATTAACTGTTGTATTTAATGTTTAGAAATCAAACAGACATAATACTATCGAAAACACTGCACTTTTAATATTTACGAATTATTACGTTTTTCCTTAAGTAATATTGTTATTTCCATAAATTTTGAACGTTATTGCGTAACGACTTGGGTAGGTACATCACCTGGTTGATTTTTTATTTATTGCATAGCATCTATTTTGATTAAACGTATTGTTTTACTGAGGTATAGGAATATATTATTATATAATTACTAATCAGTATAACATGGCCATATTGATTGATTTGCCGTGTAACATTGTATTGCAGTACATGAATATTTAGTTTTATGAACGTATTACCGTGTGCAGTATTGTACATCAGCTGTACGATTACTAGGTTAGGTATGCGCGATTAATTATATTGAATTAATATTGCCGATTTCAATTAATTGTAGTGCCTACATTATAAGTGATGTATTTTCATAATAAACCTTGTACGAATTACGATATTTCTGAATTAACATATCTTGTTTGAGAATTGTTCGTCCAAGTGTAATCATATCCTATTTAAACAAATTAATACCACGTGATTTTGACAACTTCGCAGAGCATGCACAACAGAGATATTCTGCGCGTATGACATAACAATATCTAAATACCATTTATTTGATTTTAAAATTTTGATCTTGCCGAATCATAATAGTACAAATGTATTTTTTTCTGCTCCCGCAGGTCCATGGAGGCCGCTGTTCAAACCATCGGAAATCCTCAAGAGCGAATTTCCTGAACACGAATCGTTCCACGAAGAGATAGACACTCATTACCGGAACTTAATAAATGACCACGTGGATAATAACTTGCGGTCGTCGCAATCACCGTCGTCCGAACACATATCCTCTGAATTAGACAACGGCGGGTTCAGTAGCGGTGGCATTAGCTTCAACGGTGGCGGTTACGGCAATGGCGTCAGTGTTGGGAATGGTGGAATCGCTGGTGGTGTTGGTGCAGGAATCGCCAAGAAGCATAACCACATGATACACTTACACCTGATCCCGCATATTTACGTGCCCATCGTGCACTCGGCTGGTTTCCCCGAGGTCAAAAACTATCACGCGACCGTCGAGGACGGGTCTTCACTAGCGTCTCCCATCCACAACTCGGTGGATACGTCATCGGAGTTCCAGGTCGGGGACGTGTCCACCACCGGTGGCGTGTCTGGCCCGTCCGGAACTTCTAGTTCTGGTGGTACCGGCGGCGAAAGTCCCGCGTCCGTCACTTCGAGTGTGACCGGTGACCACGATCCCAGTACCTTTAATGGACACTCGGGCGAGACGACATACTACACGATATCCGATGACACCGTTCAACACCTGCACCAGAACTTGCACGAACATTATGGCAACGGGGCCGAAAACAATCAGAATCACGACTACGAAGTGCCGACTAACGCGGTATCCGAAGAACCACATCAGTACCAGGTTTGTGTGATTATTATGTTGTTTCAATTAAATCAAATTCGATCCCCCCCTCGCTTCACCTCCTGATCTGACCTGATCGGAAGCCGTCATCGCCACCTAATAGCGCTGCATTGACTCCAATCGTATAAATCGATTCATAACGTTGAACTTTGACAAAATAGGAAGCACTATCTGCTACAAGCTTGAATTGAGGCACGAGCGCCTATTGGGGAAAAGAAAGACGGGATACTTGCTCCCCTAGAAAAATAATATGATCTTATAATAGTATTACCATTATAGATATTATCTAATTATCTAAAGAGCATACAAATTATTATTTTTTTATTACTTAGGGATTTTAAATAATATATATATAAAGTCGTGTTGACGACTTGATAGGTATACGCGAGATTAAACGTTTATTTAGTTTATATTTTGAGACTTTTTTTAGACATACTTTTCCCCTCCCCTCTAAAACTAAATCAATGAGTGCTCGTGAATCGAGGCGATTTACATTTTTCTTAATTTCTGTCGACAACATTGATTTTATTAGATTACCCGCAAACAGAATTTTAATAGTTATATTGCTATATTATAATCGTAGACGAGTTCGTGATATAGTTTGATATTATATTCTCAAAATATTATGAGAATTTATGTGATCTATGATATTTTCTGTACGATAGATTATTTTAAAATACTACAGCTGTAATACGTTGGTTTGGTATTATGAGAGATTTTTCGTCAATCCGAACTCGTCGCGACGAAAATTGTTAGCGATTTCAACAACACTTTGAACTTTGAACACTTTTCTGAATCTGATTTATTAGAATATATCAATTATTTACCATGGTAGTATCACGGCACAACAATTGTTATCAAAAACAGTTTAGCATTTGTGTAAGGTTAGAATAATGTAAAGCCCAATTTATTATTATATTATGGTTAAACGATATGTTTTATTGTCCAGTTTTGATTTGCGATTTTCAATAAGAATTATTGTTAAACAATTTAAAGTTTAATGGTGAAATTTCGCGGACAATCGCAATCGACTTGGCCGGTTTTTACAGAATGAAAATAAAATTAAGGATGTCTCAATAGTCAATTTATTGGTCGTCTAAAAACGTTGCTAAAAACGTTACCCCCGACGACTGACCGGTATGAATCGTTGTCGCGTGTCCGTGTCCGCTGTTCACGAACGTAACATGTATTGCCTACCTTCGTGGGCGCGGCGCATGTTTTTTTATTCACCGAATCTCGCGTTATCTTGCCAATCTTGTACAACCACGTCTTAGACGGGCGACAAGACACTACCGAAAACACCATACGCAGATCGAATTCGTTCTTAAATCCGAAATAACTCGACTCGGCAACCAGGAAACCGTTGCCCGCGGTATCTTACGACAACCGACTTGCAGCTGTGTAATAATATTACAACACGTCACGCGAACGGCGTTTTTCGTTTCAGGTGCACGAGACCGACGACCTTACCAAGGACTACAGCAACAAGGACCACCACGTGACCAGCGTGCCTGCGACGTCTGCGAGCAAACCGACGGCGCACCACAACCACTACCAGCCACAGCAGCAGCCGCACCACAAGCACAGGAACGCCGTGGTCAAACCGAACCGGGGCAAGCACGGTCGCAAGTTGTCCAGCCGACAGGACCTGAAGAACCTGCTGGTGATGCGACCGCCGCCCATCGGGCAGACACAGACGTGGAGGTACGTGTACCGGCCCGCGATGACCGGACATCACCAACCGTTTTACCAGGCGAAGCAGCCGATTCCGGTGATCAAGACCAGGACGGTGCCGCTCATCCTGCACATCCGGCAGAGGTCGGACGACGATTGATACGGTTCTGTGTAAGCCGCGGACCGCTCTTGCAGTTTGTCGCTTATCGTTTTCGCCGTCGATTGAGTACGCCTGCGCGTGCACCACAGCGGTGTACTTGACGTTTTAATGTGTAAAAAAAAAAAAAAAACAAGAGAATAATTTTAATGAGAAAATAAAAAACATGTTTTTAACGATTGTGCGGCATCGGACAGCGACGACGGCGCGACCGTATTTTTGTGAATCATACATAATATATTATTTCATAACTATCGTAAGACTTCTTTCGTATTAGCATACAACGTTATTATTATTATTATTTGTATTATTACTATCATTATTATTATTATTATTATTATTTTTATTATTATTATCATTATTAGTAGAATTTGATGATAGGCTAGTGAATAAGATAAAGATATAAATATATATATCGGAGAACAGGCACGGTAATAATTTTCACAATTGTATTTCAGTTTCATGAAAATAATGATTTGATTTTGGTATTTTATATCGCGCTAATACACACCAATATAATATCGCGTAGTCATTAATAATTATCAATCGTCTCGTAACACGAAATTACCCATAAATTCGAATCGTATGTTTAAATACGTTTTTGTGTATGTAAAACACGTTTTTCCGTAATGTCATTATTAACGCGTTAACATTAAACGGTCGATTTGCATAAAATTTGTAAAAATAAACTTAAAATTGCATTTTTTTTTTTATAATAGCAACGAATGTTTCAAAAACTAGTTTAATAAATCACACACTATGCCACGGGGGGGAGAAACGCTTACCTATAAATCCGAGTGCCCGGAGTACTTGACAACGAAAATTGTAGTAAATGTAACAACAACTTCTCGGCCCTGTTTATTAGACACCGCTGTTAACGTTTAATTATTGTTTAATCGTAGAAATTAAAAACGCATGTCTAACACGCCAGAAAATTTCACTGTGAATGATGTTCGATTTTAACTAGTTGTGTATACTCTCTCGAAACGCGTTTCAAGCGCGCGTCTAAAATATACTTTAAATTTTAAGTCATTCCCTGGACGAGTTTACGGACAATATAATATATTATGTCATATTATTATTATTATTATCCTAACCTAGCGCCTTATGTTATTATCGGTTGCTTCGACGCGACTTTATACTGTTATTAGGCTTGTGATAAAATATATTAATTATTCTATATCGTTATAATTTATAATAATTATCATTATTTTTCATCAATACGACATAATCTCGTGTGTGTAATGTTCGGGCTTGTTAATTGTTTCAATGTACTTAATATCATTATATACTTATATGTATTGGCCATAGAGTTAAGCTCAATTGTAAAACTATTTTCTCTAATTAATATACGGATATATTGATAAAAAAAAAAAAAAAAAATGTTCTCTCTCGACGATCTATTGAAGATGTACGAGAAGTAACCCAGTGGCCGACTGAACGACCGGAATACCGGGAAATTTCCTGGCGGGCCGCTGCTCGTATAAATTATACATTGATTATCAATATTATTACTGTGAAATTATAAATTAAAATAATATCATCCAATAAGTACGCAATATTATTATTAAACATAAAAACCAAGATTTCTGATTGTTATGAAATACGGGACCGTCAGTATACGTACATACCGAGGGCCTCTAAAATCATGATTTTTCCGTGTTGTTTTTTTTCTTCCAGTCCGCCACCGAATTAGCACGTCTTACAAAAAAAAAAAAAATTCTGATTTGTACATGAAAGTGATATAATATTATCTCTATATTGATAACTATTATTTATAACAAAAATGTACATCGGAGGTCAATTAATAATTAAAATATTATTAAAACAAAATTCAACTACACAGTATAATAGTATATATTATATATATATACATACACGTACATATTATAATATATAATAATAATATGTTGTTATTGCGATGGGAATAGGTTTTTTGTTTTGACACGAAACAAAATTCGGGTCAAGCGGTGGTGTCTCTTTTTGAACATGTTTTGCAAAAACAAAATAAATGATATGTCGAAATATAAAATCATTATGTCGTGTACATTTCATAAATAAATCAAAATTAAATAATATTATGTACAATGTTCAAAAACGAGTAAGTTGAAGAATTAACAATAAACATTTTACATACTGTAATAATAATAATAATAATAATATAATATCTAAAGTGTACTATTTAAAAGTGTCATATTTTTAAAGTAACTTAAATATCACAATCTATAAAAAAAAAAATATATATTTATATATATTATATACTTATATAATAATACAGGTTCAATATGCTTTAAACAGGTGGTGTAAAATATACATCAGCCGAACAATTAATTATTATTTATGTACATATCATTCGTCTCGAGTAAAAAATAAAATATAAAAAGGGCTTGACTAGTAATTATTATATTATCGATATTTATATAATGTTTCTATAATAATAATATAATATGTACAACATAATTAATATTCTAATAATATAATGTAATGATTTAAATTTTTGAACAGCTTAGGTAGTACGTTATTGCGATTAAATGTGTTCTCGACGATTGTCGATTCCTGAACATTTGAGAGGATAACGTCGAGCGATTTACGAGAGGAGTTTTGAGAGAGGGGAAGGGCGATGCAACAAACCAACCGCCCGACTTTTATACAATATGTCGAAAATATTATTACAATATAAAATATAGGCAAACTACATCTCCACTAGAATCGCCATGACGGTGGACAATACACGAGCGATTAAAACGGAAATAGCAGATATGTTAATTCATTAGATTATCAGCGTTTTACACGTTTAAAAAAAAAAAAAAACGTTTATTATACACAATACAGATGAGACTCGCTTAAACGCGACGAGAAGAATCTAAAATAACAAGCAACAGCGCAGTTACAATATGAAAATAATCACGTCCGCGCGCACAAGCTCGCATTTCTCGTTTAATATATTATATTATAATCGCATTAAAATACGATACGCTAAATTAAAATACGTATGTTTGCGCAATGTCATTTCTCGATTGAACTGTGGCGGATAAAAGGAGACACGCCGGACGCGATATTCGTGCGCGGTCGATATTGCCTATTTTTCTATCAGTCTATATTATTAATATATTACACATGGCGTTTAAAATTTACAATTTATATTTATATTTATATATATATATATATGAATAATTCTAATATAATTATTGGTTTGTCTGTATATTATATTATGTACAGGACGATAACAAAAAACGGATACCGTACGAACTAGGCACTCGACGAACACACCGCCGAGGTAGTTGATTTCGACCAAGAACGGACGGTAATAATTCATTTGGTTCGGTGGATGATTAGTGAGATTACCAACACGCCGATAGGTATAATAATATGGTAGGTGTAAGAGATAGTGCGGTGACGACTCGTCAACGTGATATTACATTATGGTTATGATGTCATAATAATATTATCATTTTGTACAGACGTCGGGTCAATGAACAGAGAAACATAAGATGATGATAATAAAAATAATAATGAGAAAAAAAAAATAATAAAACAAATAATATTATTAAAAAAACAAACAAACGGCGCACTTTGTACGTGCGGCGGTGGCGGCGGCTCCGAGAGCTGTTGATTTATTGTGATCGCGCGTAGAAGCCGCGCGCCAAAAGAGATTGTCGAAACAGTAAATTGTCAGACGTCGGGGCGAGCGATAGAGTCGACCAGAGCTCGTAGTTAGTGTCTTCGGAGAGGTATTATTGTCGACCACCTCGTCGCCGACGTCGGGTTTCTCGGCTTCGTTCAGTCTGCGTCGCATCCGGGCAGATAGGAAGCGTTTTGCCGGAGCACGAAAGGCCATCCTTCGCGCCGACTGCCGTCGCTGCCGCCGCTGCCTCCGCCGGACCGTCATGACGCGGCGGCCGCGGGAGCGTAGCCCAGGTTCTTGCGCTGCAGGAACAGATGGATCTCCCGGAACGTGGGCCGGTCCGACTCCTGTCGCTTCCAGCACTCGCGCATCAGGTCGTAGATGTCCCGGCTGCACGCCGGCCGGGGCAGGTACTCGAACAGGCCGTCGTCCACGTGCATGTGCGACAGGTTCTCGACCACCCGATGGTCGGAGAACCCTTCGTACGGTCGGGACTTGGCCAGGTGCAGGATCTCCCAGAGGGTCACGGCAAACGACCACACGTCGCTCTTCGTCGAGTACTTGTCCTGTGGAAATGGTGCGCGAACGCGGTTTTAGTGTTATTGCGCCACGAGTGTGCACGATTTAACATCACGCGTAACAGTATATGATATAATATTATGATGAAATTAAAAATTAGAATAAAGCGATTTGGCGGAGGACATTCCCCTCATCGTCACCAAAATGTTTGGTCGATTTTGTGTTTCACGTTGTTAAAATTCAGTAAAAATCACACGATATAATAATTATTGTTATGTAGTATAGGCGTTCCCAGGGGGCACTTTCCTCCCCTAGAAGTTAAAATTTTGTCACCTAATTGAAATAACTGAATGCAATGATGACGAAAAATAATAATGTTCTATAAATAAAATGTATAAAAAAGATCTCCATAATTTTTATATTAATTTTGTCCCTCCCCCTTCCCTAGAAAAATGTCTGGGGACGTTCATGGTTTGTAGTAGTAACGCCAAAACTATTGCACGCTCTTTTGTGAATTAATAATAATCAATAGGTACTTATTTAACGGCTAGGATCACACTATGCGTTTTGTCGGTTCCCGATCAACCGGAGCCAAACCGCAACACTCTAAAATAAAATAGGTTTAAATATAAAACGCGTTATCAGGGCCAGACTAGACCGATTTACGGAACCGATTAAAAACCGTCGGGAAGCGACCGCAACGTGTTGCGGCCCAACCGTCCGGTTGCGTTTCGGGATGTAAAGCACAACACATGCAATGCAATTTGTCCGATCACATTTGTGCGGATTATCGGTAACCGAAATTGAAAATTTTATGAATAATTAATAATGATTTTTAAATTTAAATAATTAAAAAACTTAAAATATATTTGTAATATACATATATATATATATATATATATATATATATATTATATTTTATTTATATTATAGATGTATATTATTATTTATTAGTATAATTAGTTGATACACGTTTTAAATAAAAACAAATAATTCTAATTACACAACCTTTTTATTATTTTTTTACTTATAATACTAGATACATTTCGTTTAAATAAAAAATCAGTTTAAAATTTAAATTTAAATTAAAAACGATTTTCGGGCTTTTTAATCTCATTTGTATGTATTCGGTTACCGATAAAACGCACAGTATGATCGATCGTCCCGATTGCGGTTAATCGGGATAGTATTTTTCGGTTGCCGACAAAACGCATAGTGTGATCCTAGCCTAACCTTTAGCTACTAAATATTTATTTCACCGAATAGATATTTTTTCCGAAAAAAAAAAAAAATCATAATGACTTATTTTATCATCCAATAAAATACTTATAATTTATTGTTTTCGCGAAAATTGTCGTGTGGCTGTGTACGGATTTTATCGTGTTTTGATACAGGTAAATCTGCCGTATTTTGAGAAATATAAAAATGTTCTAAGAATATAAAATTTAATTTACTGCATACAAAATGGACGTATACTTTCAAACTAGAATATTTTCTGCGAAATATGTTGAAGAGTTGTAGGTTTCTAGGTAGGTACCGTTTGAAAAGAAAAGCAATTTATTTAAGATTCTGATTAGTGTTCTAGAAGAAGACTTCTACTTATCGGAATCTTCAATAAATAATGAAAACCGTTTATACGATATTATTATTTTATGATGGTCTAAACGATTCTAGAGAAGGCTTAACTCACCAAGAACGCTGATTCCCACGACATCCATCGGACGGGGAGTCCGAGATTGCCGTCCAGTTTGTAGTAGTCGGCCGCATACGCTTCGTTGTCGGTGCCGAAATCGCTGATTTTTACCTTGTATGCTTTTCCCACCAAGCAATTCCTGAAACACGTTTGGAAATTAATTATTTTATAACAGTTGCCGAGGGAGTGCCGCCGCCGCCGCCGCTGCGACAGTCGTCGTCGTTAATAATGGTAATGAAATACGCCGAAATAAATTCATTATTAGGTTAATACCTGGTAGCCAAATCACGGTGGACGAAGTTCAATGATTCCAGGTAACGCATCCCGGACGCTATTTGTGTTGCGAGATACAGCAGACATTGGAAACTGAAAATTACGTACGCGGAAAACGGGTTGTTAGAAAACGATGGTGTTTTATATCTCACACAAGACGCTCATTTATCAGTCGATATTATGTTGTGCTATGAAAATAATATAAATATATTTTTAAATTATACTCAAATTATTATAATGTTAAGTCGTCGAGACTTGTGTAAACGTGCACGACGAGACGTTATTTTTTTTAAAATCTTGATGTTTAAAATATATCTAAAAAAAACAATACAACCATTTATGACGAGCATTTGAAATTTAGATGTGATGACGAAAGTTGTCAGTTGTAACTTTCAAATTGATATTGTGACGTTCGATTAGTTTTCAACGATTATTTCCATAATATGTAAAACGGGTTGCTCGTTATTTGAAAAAATCAAAACCCCGTAATGTTTTTTTTTTCAAAAAAAAAAAAAAAAAAAAAAAATCGACTGATAAGACGAGTGTTGTGGACGTTAGTTTATCTCATTAAGTTTTGACACAAATTGGTACCTGAGAGTTTTCACAGTGGGCGGCAAGTTCCGGGCAGCTTCGACGGGTACGTGTGTTTTGAGGAACTGGTTGAGGTCGCCGTGCTCGCTGTATTCCATGACTACGCACAGTGGCTGTTCCGAAGTACACACGCCTAACACTCTGGCGATGTTTTGATCTTCCAGACCGGCCAAAATCCTCACATCGTTTTGTAGTTCAGCTCTACAACACCCACACAGCGTTATAACAATCGTATAAAATATATTAAATAATAGAATGACTTTATTGAATTATCATCGAATCTCGCTGGATTCTTTCTATTTGTCACAAAAAACATTGAGTAAAACTTCAATAGCCATTAGTCAAGTCTTGTAATTAAAATAATAAATTTAAAATTGATTTTATTCAAAGTCATTAATAATTAGTAATTGAATATTTTTATTATATATATTATACATATATACATAAAAAACATGTTAATTGATATGCAATAATATATAGTTTTAAACTGCCTAATCGATACACCCGTCACCTATAAAAACGATTTATTTGTGGATTTCAGATAAAATCTGAATAAAATAATGAGTTATTTTGATCTAAGTTTTGAATACTGGTTAGAGCATTGCTTTAATTACTTCAGATTACAAAAGGTCGAGTTCCATAACTGGTTATGTGTTTTTGAATAATCTATTTTAATTTACCTTTCTTTTTCCGATAACGCGGGCGAGAAGAATTTTACGGCCACCAGTCGTTTGCCCAGTGTCATTTTCGAGCTGTATTCGTTGATACCGTCCGCTTCGGCCACGTAAATCTAAAACAAATCGAATAATGTTGTTATTTGTTAGGTACGTATTTGTTTTTTTTTCAACAATTAATCAAAATAAACTTGGATAGCATTTTTTTTTTTAATAATATATTATAGGTAGTAACAAAACATAATAAAAAAACGTATAGAAAACTAGGAAAATTACGATTTTTATTTGACCACAAATAATATAAAAATCGGTTACGCATAAGATATTTTTATGGATATACAAATTTTTTATCGTAAAACTCAAAATAGTATAAGCTTAACGCATGGATGCAAGATGAAACAGTGAGTTTTTATTATTCGAACACAACTTTTAAGTCGTATATTGTTTTAACCGAACTATGTTTGTACTATTACAATATTCACTAGATAAATTCGGTCATCAAAACTTCTGATAGGTATGATATTTTTTCTTTAAATTATCGTGTTTTATCTACTTTGGGTTTTACAAAATATAAAGTCATGCGTACGTGTTGCTGTAAAACACATCATAACTGCGTAAAATATTACGATACTTAGAATATGTTTAAGTATTTGTTATTCGATAACATTCCTAAAAAGTACCTATAGCTGAACTTTTAGGGGATTGGATTGTGTGAAAAAAAATCGATCGCAGTACCTAGTGATCATAAACGTAATGTCGAAAACTAGTTTGTAGAGTGATTTTGACAACACAACTTACCGCTCCGTAATTACCCTCACTGAGTTTGGACAACATACGCAGACGGTGCCGTGGGAATTCGGGCACAGGCGTTTGTTCGAGCCGGCGTTTCAATGCGGTTTGGGATTCTTGTTTTTGCGAAGACTGTAAAAAAATTAAAACAAAAAAGTAAATACATATTATAACGTGTGTAGTTGGATATAGACGGTGTAATGTATGGGCAGGCATACAAATAGTAATGCGCGTAGTCCGTATAAAGCGTTAAATGTTAATAGGTCATCGTCGATGACGAGGAGTGAGAGAAAGGTGGACGACGGACGACCAAAATGCCAAATCTTTTCCTACTATACACGCACAATATATACGTTTGAATGGGAATAATTTTAAAAATTGCTCCCCTTCTCGACGGTTTTTGTTTTACCCGATTATTCGACAATGCTTTTGGGAATTTATTGACCTATGATAATATATACTACACCGTATAATATAAAACCTGTAATAACACTATTAAATGTGTTCAACGTATTATTATCATTTATCAAATGAGTAAAAAAAAAAGAAAAAAAAAAGTAAACAAACATAGGCAATTAATAGGTAAAAATCGATATTTTTAAAGTGGGCTGCTCGAATGGAATTTGGGTACTGATGATTTTATTCAATTCTCGTCATGCGAGCACACTTGAGTTCTTACAATACACACATAATATAATGATTGTTTCGTCAACATTTGATATTTTTTTTTTCTCGAGTATAAAATATACAATGAGACGTTATTGTACAAATAATAATGAATGTAAATCATAATCTTACACGAAACACAACATAAAAATAAAAAAAAAAAAAAAACCGTATGTCTTCCTCGCGTCTAATAAAATCGCTCTGTTTACACACACCACACACACACACACACACACACACACACACACACACACACACACACACACACACACACACACACGGTGTGTGATACGTGTCATATCTCCATGATATATTACAAGTCTGGGCACTTTTACCTATATACTATATTATTATATTGTGCTGTGCTATGCTACGTAGACGGGCAACGGCTATTGTAACACACGGCGACAAATGACAATGTGCGATATGGCAGTGCGGTGGTGGTCCTCGCAGATGACGTTTTCACACGACGGACGATAATATTGTACTACGTAGGTGTACTGTGTATTTGCCGTGCAGTGCACATTTAGCGGACTGGGTGTACGTCATATTGTGTGTCTATGTAGGTAATGGCATTGTACAGGCTCGGGAAACGCATATATACGCCCGAAAACGAACAAACGTTCGTGAACATAATATCACGTGCGTACCTACCTATATCACTATATGGTATATGGGTACACTACGCAACAGCTATTTGTATCAATCACTCGGTGGTGGTAAACACAATAATATTATATAAGGTACAAACACGAGTCAAGTCAACGCACGAGATATGCTGAACACACACACACAAACACACTCACTCGCTGGCAAACGGGCGCTATTCAAGGCGACATGACAAGTCGTGTTCGGGCCCATTATTCATAATCTTTTCAGTGAAACGACACACACACACACACACGATAAGGGTGGGCGAGGAGAAAATCATGGGCGAAGAAGCGGCGCGTGGAACGGGAGCGGAGCACCGTGTTTCCGTGCTCGTCGAGTCCGCCGCAGTATAAATCATCATCTCCTGGCGAAATTATTTCCAAGACTGCTGCGGGGATGGCACACGACGATGACACGCGAGCGCGCGCGGTCGGTGGAACGCGGAGGACACCTCATTTATTTTTCCCCTCTCTCTTTTTTTCCAATCTCGTAAAAATGCCCATCTCGTTATATTTCGTACGTTTTTAATTTTAGTTAGTCGTTTAAAACCTAATCGCGTATCATGTTTCAATGTTATAATAATTATTATAATACACGACCAACGAATGACTAAGTCTTTAATTATTATTATTATTCCCGAGCACTCGACACGTTGTTTAATCCATTCGTGCAGGTTCTCACAGTGTTATAAATTTGTTTTCTGTTTCGATTCCAGGAACATCTTGGATGCTTTTCTTTTGCGCAGTTTTTATTATTCATTATGGTTATTATTATTATTTTTTTTTTTTTTATGGCATTCTGAAGTATAAATATTTCATCATTTTACTCTACAAAACAATAAACTAATGTTTAATTTTGTTCGAAAATCATGTACTTGTATACTACTTATACTATGTATATAAATTATGATAAAAAAAGTATAACTGAAATATATTATACCTTCAGGCTTCAGTCTTATTGTTGTACTGCACTTTAGGACAGTAAGATTAACCATGAATATGGGCGGGAAGAGGAATATTTGATGCACACGGTACCCCGAGATAAAAGAAAATTAAGTTTAATTATTTAAATAAAATCATAATTTTTGTATATTTTTAACGATATAAGAATAAGAAAACGCGTAAAAAGTAGTACCTATATTTGTAATATTTCTCCCTATATAAATTAAATGATACAAAAAAATAAAATAATGGTTGAAAAGAAGCTTTAGTCGATTAGTTATTTATAATAAAAAAATATTGTAAAAAATCGATGGTATAAACAACAATTACGTGATTAAAAATTAATAACTGTTTAATTTTTTACTTCAAATAGTTTTAATTTATGTCCTTATAAATATTTTTATACTCCACATTATAATCCAAGTATCTATACTTAAAATGTGTGATTGTCGTAAAGTAGAATAATATACTGGATTTATGATGCTCGAAAATTCGTTAAATAAAGACAAATCTATAAATTGTTACTTTACCGAGTTATACTACGCTGCATACTTGTCTTGTGTCGGACTCATAAATTGAAATCAGTTTTATTATTTATTCCTAAGTGGACGTTTGTGTCAGTACTGTTTTCGAGTTTCTTCAAGTCAAGAACACTTGTGGATTTATGTACGTGGACTTGGCACTCTTATGAAAACATATGTTAAAACTTACTTTTTTACTACTTCTGCTTTCGTCCGTGGGATACATTTTGTTCCTGGCAAACGTGTCGGTCGTGACAGGAGCCACAGGAGGAGCTGACGGTGGCGGAGGTGGCGGTGGCGAAGTGGTGAGTAATGGCATGGTTCCGGTCTCGGGCACGGCGTATTCGTACGCAGAGTCTGAAAGGTAAACAATGGTAAGTTGCTTTCAACAAAAGTGGAATACAATAAGACTTCATTAAATCTTTTAACTTTTGCAACTTTTGTTGAAGAAAAAAAAATAGTATTCATTTGTAAATTAATTAATGGATTCAAGTACAAAATGAAAGCACAAGTCGTTTCTCTATCCCTTCACTGCGAACCCCGTTAAACGCGGAACGAGTCGTTCGATTGTTTGAACGGTTCATAATTTTGAGGGAAATATCGATTTCTTAGTATGCATACGTAGCACAAGGTTTTAACCAACATTGTACAGCATTTCTGTTTTTCCTCGTCGACTAAATGGACAACACACAACGGCAAATCATGTATCGACGTCTGGTCATAATTTAATGCTTACGTATATGATTTTGACCCCATGTCTCGATATACAGTATAATGTAGAAACGCGACGCTTGTGGAATGTACACAGCGATGAATATATAGTATAAACACGGAATATTTGAAGAACGTCAGCAATGATAATTTACTAATTTAGACAATATTTGTACCTATGTTTTACTGGTAATAATTATTAAAATAATAACAGTGGAAATCTCGAGAAGGTTTGACGACAAATATTTATCAAGATGACGTTTCATTCTAAGATTAAACAAATACCGTGATTCGTTAAGTCTGTTGTCTTGTTCTCGCACGCGCACATAACGAACCAAAATCAAGTTGACGCGCGCGCGTTGTAAGATATGATTGGTAAGTGAAGTGATTTAAAAATTAAAAACACGAAACAATATTTCAGCACAGAATTTTTCCATACAATTTTCAGTTTTTATTGATAACAATTTTATCGACGTTTTTCGGGGCATCGAAGAAACAATTTTAATATTGTAACTAAAAAAGTGTTGGTGAATATAAAATATGTTTAAACCTATATTAAGCTAGTCTATGTCAATTAAATGTTGTTGATAATTTTTTTTCTATTCGGGTTATAAGTTCAGTGTATCGAATAACCACTATTATCATGATTATTAGCGCGATGTTATGAACTGTTCCAAAAATCAATTGAAAATTGTAAATATCTAAATCTAATCAAATATAGTTTATTTTAAAAATTATGATTAATTTATAGTCAAATTAAATTATACTCTATTTATTGTTTATTTTGATGACTTAAAATATAACTCAAGTATTTAACACTAAATTCGTTTACAATAAACTGTAGACAGGCGTAAACGTGACAGAAATGAAAACCATAAATATAAATTATACTTATTTAAATAAGCTTCTCGAAGTGATTTCAATCTGAATGCTTTAAAAGTTAGGTTCGAATTCGAGTGATTTAATGAAAAAAAAAAAAATACACTTTTTTCCCAAAAATCGGGTTCATCATTATTATTATAATTATTACTCACTTCCTGAATCCACGTTGCGGCCGACTACCACAGTACTGTAACTGTAGAACGGTGTGTGCGCGTGATACGGCTCCTGGTACGGTTCAGCGTCCAGCTGGATCAGCCTGTCCATGTCGTGTAGGTGGGCGTTGACGGCGCCTGCCGGATGTCCGTGGCCGGTGCCGCCGTGGTGACTGGCCGAGCTTCCCGTGCCGGCTTCCTTATAACTGCCGCCTGTGCCGCAGCTACTGCCCGATGACATTCCAGGACATCCGTTGCCCGTGGCCAGTGCGCTCTTGCCCACCAACGGGCTGGCGAAGCATTTCCTCCTCCGGTGCCGGGATACAATCAGGAAAATAGCAACCGCCAGCAATATGATGACTGCCATTAGCACACCGATAATGACCGCCATGTACGTCTGGTCCTCGTCTTTGGCAGTAGGGACTGCACAGGATACAAAGACAGAAGGATTAACGAGATGTACGTAATAAGGCAATACCGATTTGTGTTACACGCGTATTTTATTATATCACAGGGTAACTTTCACCTAGTGTAAGTGTGGGATTTCATTCTGAGGGCGAGCTTGTAGTAAGATCACTGCCCACTTAGGGAGTGTTATTTAGAAATACAAACTTCTGTTTTTCAAATGATAACTCCTCTTTTATACATTGCGAGTGGCTTAGCGTATATTTTTGCTGATTATGTTAACGTATAAAAATCAGAATTCGAATGGATAGTTATTGAGGTATTTAACATTGGGCTTTTAATGATAATAGTCCACATTATAATGCGTTTAGAAGATAATATGGGGGCTACGGAAATTCGGAAATTTTAGTAATTTATACTGATCTAATAGTGTTTATAATTTATAAAATTATCAAAGTACGTATAATAAATAAAACTATTTATTGTTGTTTACGGAGTAATCGTTTTAGAAAATAGAAGATAACCATAATATTATTATATCGAATCCATGGCGTAGCGATTTCATTTTATCGATAGCGTATGTGTAGATTTAAATAACACGATTTAATTATAAAATATGTTAACATTTATGTGTTTGAGATGACTAGGTGATTTATTGAAGAATTCATTACAAGTTTAATAATATATAAATATTATGATAGAAATTTTGTTGTTGCGTATTATGATTATTTGAACGAGTTGAGCTGCAATTATAATGGTAACGAACTCATAATGGTCTCAACATAATAGGTACCATTTAAAATTAATAACTTTGTAAGTGTAATTAGTAAGTTATACGTATAGGTAATACTATAATTATTATCACAAATTCTTTAAAATCACATGTTTAAAGCCCTTTAAAAAAATTTAATGATGTAGTCCTCTTAACGATTAATACAATGTTTATAATAATTTATTATTTTAATAATATTTCATAGTAGCCGTACCTGGGAGTTCCGGTCTCAGAGGATCCTGATGATCTTTCATCGTCGAACCGTTCTTCTGAATAGGCGGCTCTGGCGGTATAGCACTTTCCTCGGAGAAATTGCCCTGAGCGACATCTAAAAAAAAAAAAAAATGACCGGAAACTTATAATCCATATTCAAACAAACTTCTAGCGGTATGAAAATATAATATTTTTTTAGTAATTTTAAACCATTTTAATAGATAATATTGCTATAACTATCGTCGCAATATTCATTTAAGCAGATATTTAGAAGCCAGCGAAACGTTTCCATAGATTTCTTAAATATTTTGATAAAACTAAAGTAAGTTAAACTACCTAGCAATAATATTTCATAGAATATTAGTGGTGAGTATGTCATTGACAATATTTAAGAGAGTAAGGGGGGCACATTTAAATATGTGAAAATACTTTTTCGATAAAAATTCAAAGTTGGTGAAAATAATAAAATGAATAGCAATAGTGAAAACAGTATTTTATATTTTAATGTATAATAATTATTTAAAACTATCGTTTAATTTTTGTGTTTTGTAACACTGTTTGGAATAGTAACCATTTATATTCAAATTTTTACTCATATACACTATACGTATATTGTGTGTGACAATTAATTTGCATGTGTACAAGAGTGTAAAAAGGGGCATGCGGTTTAGCACCATTGCATAACGAATGTCTTTCACAGTTAAAAAGCAACGAATTTAAAGCGGGTAGACCGAAATAATGGGAATGAGGATAGTAGGAGGGTCCAGAAGCAATTACGTAGGCCCATTGTTCAAGAGCACCTCAAAAACCGCAGCAATTAAGGGTCTCACAATTTTCGTTGTCATTATTATCCCAGTGGACAGGCAACTTATATAAAAGTTCTTAATTAAAAAATACTCGGTTCGACGATTTAAAAAAACCCACTCCGGCTCTTGCACTTTTATGCGAGCACCAAAAATTAATAAAATACAAGAATAAAACGCGAAAAATTCGAGGAAATTAAATAATGGAAATAAAATAGTTATCCTGCTTCTTAGTGAATAATAAAAATAAAAAAAAAAAATCATTATGATAATATTTTACAGTTTTTATTATCTTATTATAGGTACAGATAACAATTAAAATCTAATTTTAAATTTAATTTAAATTACAAATATTTTTAAAATGTGTGAAATTTGGGGATAATCTACATAATTAAATAGAAATATGACTGATAAAATGTAAAATAAAAGAATATAATATAGGTAGGTTATACATGCTTTTGTCATATTTATAAGTTATAACTATCTCTGATATTGTTAAAACCGATTTACACACGTTATGATGTTCACCTATATAAGAGTAGGTACTCTTAGATAATTTAAAACGTTTACTTTAAGATTTTAGTTTACAAGTATTAGAACATACAACGTGAAACATTTAAGAAGATGATGTAAAGCACACATTGTACAAGTAGACCAAAGTATATCATGGTAACATCTTTATGCAAAACTTTGCTCATAAATCTACACCTTACCATAACCCACTACGCATATAATATTATGAGCACGCGGGTAGAAATTCCTTTAAAATGCCCTTCATTGGATCCTTTGGGGGCAAAAATAAGGAAAGAGAAAATAAAACCGTTATTAGGGTCGATATTAAAAAGGTTGTTTCCGCGAGCCATTTAAGCATTTCCCCCTACCCATTACACACATCTGTCTCCGCGGCGAGGGTGTTCAAATGAAGACGCCGACAACGTTTATGACCTTTGTTTTTGGTAATTGAAACGAGTACGAGTTTAAAGTCTTAAATCTCGGAGTTTGTGGTTATTTTTAAGCGGTTTAAACGATTCGTAAAACTAGCCACGAATAGTGTATATAATTGGAAGATTATTTCTCCGCAAACATAACAACAAAAACAGCTAGTAAAGTTTAGCGGGACAGCGCAAATAAATATTGTTTTACTGGAATAATGGAATAACTACAAACTTAACGTAGGTAATCAAACGGATTAATCGTACACAGTGAATAAACGAGATGTTTAGATTTTAAATGACACGAGCGCAAATAAAATAAATGTCACACAAGTATTTGGTACCGAAATGTTATAAAATATATTATAAGATAATCATAATAATAAAATATTGAGCGTGACAATGATGTTTTAGTTGACAAGAATGGAAAATCGATTCGCGTTTTGTTCTCACCAACAAAAACGTATATATATATATATATATATAGCTACTAATATATATTATAAATTAGATGTTTCGTGTGGCGTTTGCGTTTGTGTACAATTTTGTTTTGCAACTGCGTTGTATGTATATATATATATACTATATATCTTTGAGGGATTTGTATCCTACAGCGTAACTATATATTTCTGTTACCGAACCGTTTTTCCCATTTGCCACCGACAGCGCTCGTATATATTCTCGCAGACATACGGCATGGGGCCCGGGCGATTTTCCCATTACCACTTTTGCCTACACCCCGAAAACGTTCAGGTAAGCTATAAATCTTCTTATGTAGTGTAATAAAAAAATAATATATTAAAAAAAAACCAAACAAGACAAAAGTAGGTGGAAAAAAATGAAAATAAATACGTAACCCTCTCGAGATTTATGTTACTTTTTCCATTTTCCCAACTACTTATTGTTCCCCATGGGACGAGGGGATGTCATATTTCCCGGTTATATAAAAAACACCTATTTATTTTTTTTTAATTTCCTAAGAACCGTCGTCATTTAGTCACCTGTCCGAGTGTTATTCAATCTTCATAGCAAAAATATATCATAATAAAATTTTATATTATTATTTCAGTACCTATACGCCTTGCACTTCAAAAATATGTGTTTGTTTATAATAGTTAATAACAATAAAAATGATAATCTTTTCTCATTTTTTCACAGTGAAAGGTAGACGATTTTTTTATACATTATTAACTAAAAATAAATATACTTAAATATCAAACGTGTCCCTCAAGATTTCATTTTTATTTTATATTGTATACCATACAGTCATTATAGTACGTATTCACGCTCGTAGTAACACTTTATATTACCTTTATAATATATTATGCATATTCATCTCACTTAAAAATAATATATATATATTAAATGCATGTATGGAGCCATGGAGGGTTGGTACAAGATGCGAGTCTATATTGCTGATTTTTTTTTTCATGAAGAAATAAAATACAGTGTTCTGTTTGAATGTGGAATGCGCGAGATAGTGAGGAGGGTGCGTTTTGAGTAGGGGAAGGACGTATTCGTGCAGGTATAAATAAGCATATTTTCAGTCGGATGCTTTCGATTAACACACTCGAGTTATTTCTGGTACACCGACCTGACATATTCACCATATTATATATTATTTGATTAAAAGCAGAGAGCAAGTAAAATCCAGAATACAAAAATTCATCGGGATTAAAAAGTCACAGACTACATCAATCCTGTGCTTTAAAATGCGGCGAAGTAGTGATAAATGAACACGAATTGTCAACCATATAATAATAATGGTTCACTTTAATAGGTGTTAAAAATACCAGAGAAGTGAAACCACACGTTTATATATAGACAAACGTATAAAAATCTACATATAAGTACTATAGCAAGACGACCCCCGTTTAATTTTTCAAACCGAGAAAATCAACCTAGTAACTTACTTTTCTATGAATGCTATAAATAATTAAAAAATTACCATGAGTTTAATGATAAAAAAAGTATTATTTGAACTGCTTGTCTATAACATGAAACATATTTTAAAAATGAGACAATTCATTTAATGATAAATCATTATCATACTTGTCGTAATATTATATTATAGATAAAATATTATATAATGTGCCTTTTTGAACGGTGACAGTTTGTGTATGTCACTATTTGAGTAATAACTGCAGTGGTCGTATTCTGTGATTTATCTCATTGATTCATACTAAGGGGATGCATTTCCGGCAGTCGGTTAAATATAAAATAATACTAATTATTATGTATATTACAATAAGTAATTTATATTTACCAGAATCGAATGTTATCTCGCTGATCATGATCCACTTGGCGGCAAAAGACAATCTAAGTTTAATGAAACGACCGACTCTCCTGTGCAATTTGATGCTGACATTCCTGGACGTTTCAAATATTCTGTCTTCCATGTAAGTGTATGTCAACGGTTCCGACGAGTAAACTTTTCCTCCCACGCTGAATAAAATACTCGCTTCGGAGAACACCTGAAATCCGAAGTTTTTATTAAGACCTCTGTGTACAACTCAATAACTACATAAACGAAAAAGTATATAGTCGTCAACGATGAGTTGTTTTCCCATGGAAAAAAAAAATAGCAAATAAATAAATAAATAAACCTTCTTCTATGGTTTTATTCTACGAATGTTTATAGATTGTAAGTCAATTTCGAGTTTACAACACTTTTATTCAGTGCCGGTGTGCGTGTGTCAGAACAGTTAGAACACCAACGCAGTTGTGTGCACGTCTACAGGGAATACCGATTTTTCTTTCGTTTTTATACAAGACGAGACAATCTCCAAACTAGAAAATATATATTTCGCGTTCCGTCGCCAACCACACCAATCAATAACCCGTGACTAGAGTATAGAAATGTGACAATATATACACACCACCACGCTAACGGCTATTACGGCGTATTGTCTGTGTATAATATTATGTATATCGGGACCTCGAGCATACAGTGATTTATTGCGTGTTTTGGCCCCGTACATGCTAATAGTCTATGGCAGTAGGTTTTATTCTCGTATCAAAATATCTTGTAGGACGGTCTCAGTTAATGTACCACATGAATCTTCATTACTGGCGGACGCAGTGTCAACACATCGTTGGAAGATTTAGTATAGTGTCCACGTGCCGTCGGTTAAAATACTGTTAAAATAATACGTAAATCATTGGTGTACTCGAAATTCCTTTTGTCGGGAATAATATCCTCGGCAGCATAAGTATTTAACGTTTTGTTTTACAAATCGATCTGCGCCCTATTTCTACCTCCTCGCCAACAAGACAGACAAAAACAATAATAACACTCGTTTTTCGGTACTAGTAAATAAAAGTTTCATAGTATTATAAATACGCGAGGTTTTTTTTTTTTTTTTTGATGAGCTACATCCTACTTATATCAAAGCAATACTACTAAGCCTATGAATATACGAATACATGATATTTAAGACGTATATAACATCACACATGCGTGCCTATATGTACATATTATAATATTACATCGATAAGTGAATATATTGTGTCGATCAAAATCCAATAGTTTATGATTAAACGAACGCGGGAACGATGGCAGTATAATGGGATTAAGAAGTTTTCGGTCCCAACGGGATTTCATTGTGTTCTGTGTTATATATTGCAGAATATTATTATTACGACGTTGCACACTTCGATTGGGCTTTGTAATATTATGCTGTTAATATAACACACTGTGGCATGTAGATACGGCAGTGGGGTTGTTTTATCAAAACTCGAAATACAGCATGTACACGTGATAAGGTTTGACGATTAGGTATGTGTGTAATGTGTTAAAACTCATTTCGGTATGCGCGCGCAAAGTTAAAGAAGTTAGCGAATGTAACATCACTAATCGAAAGTGATGGGATGAGATACAACACTGTAATAGGGAGTGTCTAATTTTAAGGAGCACTTTAAGATTACAAACGCTGTTGATTAAATTACATGTAATGCGAAAAAAGCCAATAATACTCCAAGAAAGTTTTAAGAAATTAGTTTTCAAGAAAAAAAAATCACTGTGCCATTAGGACAGTGGTGTACAGGAATCTAGAAAGCGCTAAGTTTGTCTTGGCCAATAGCCCATAAAAGTTTTCAGATTTGTAACGGGGAATGAATAACGCAATTAGAGGCACAAAAAACTTTTGCGACTTGTTTAAGTCGTTTTTAAGCAGCGAATGGGAAATGTTAAAACTAGTTTATGAGAAATGTATACAACTCTTGGTATATTATAGTTGGCAACGACCCTACAATACTCATGTAAAATATATTATAGTAGTTATTAATAAGGATGTACTTAGATTGATAATGTATGTTTCTACGACTAAATCTATAATTAATAAATTAATTGAATAGGATTTGCCGTTTTTGCAATGCATTAACGATGTCGTTGACTTGGAACGCGTGTACTTGGACCGTAACAGTGATTAGGCGAACTGTTTTTCATTTACAGATTATGTAGTTAATGCGATCGTAGTATTTCCTATTTTGTCACTGCACGCGCGCATGATTTGAACTCTCCAAAACGGGCAAACCGATTATATCCGTTAATCGATTGCAGCATTCGGGCTCGATGCAGTTGGGAAACGATCGGAGCGTTGGAAAAATAAATTATTTCAGTTGCTTTAAATTTTAATATAGGTACGGCTTAATGAGTTTAAAAAAAAAAAAAAAAATACATTTTTAAAGGTCAATGTGCAAATGGTCACGTGTGTGTTCCGTGTTCCAATACGGTTAAACAATAGTCTCTGCGTAACACGTGCAGGACGTGGTGCAAGAGCAGCTCACATATAGATTGTTATCTGTTATAATTATCGTAAAATCCCCTTGTAAAACAACTCAATACAACAATAACGCGTCCATGACCGGCCCATCCCCAGTGCGCACAAACATAATATATAGGTGTACAGTGTACAGGTTAATCAGGGGTGACCAAAGATGGGAGAACTTCGCAAGCCGCGCGGTAAATGCCTCGAGAAATAAAAGATTCATCGTGACGACGTGGTCGTTATCATAAATTAGATATTAGACTTTAAGTAAAATTAACGAATGTTTACATACTGATTGATAACTTGGTGAAGTATTGAAATAAAAAATGTAAAAAAATATAAAAAAAATAATATTTTTTTTTTAAAAGACTTAGTTTTTTTATTACTACAGGGACTGCAATTTGGTTACCCCTGGTCCATAAATATATTACACGAATTTATATAAAATATATATATATACACACAAACAACCACCTAAAATGATATGTTCGCGTGAACAAACCTCCCCTAATAACATCCCTTTTATCGATGAACGGCAGAAGGTACGCCTCTAATTGCTCGTGTCTGATGGTCCTCCGATGTTTTAACACACACCATGAACACGTCGAATTTTCGAAATACATAACGTTAATCTGTTTATAGCTGCGCTTTCGTCGTATATCGTTATATAAGAAGAGGCCCAGTAGTCGTCATCTCTGAGACCTACTACTGGGTTTTCTAATATAATTTCATCATGTCATTATTATCATTATTAATAATTTCGAGACGCAATTTGCATTCGTTTGCAGATTTTAATCTCTCCCCACCACCTTAGCGTAGTATATATACATATACACCAACCGTCTCCGGGGAGATTGTGAGTTTATAATCGGATTTTTGAATTCGTTTCCACTTTGGGGTTAGACAACGTCGAATTATAATTGTGTTATCACTGTGGCGTAGAAGGGTGCTTTTTAATGGGTTCGATTAGACGTTAGCAAATACAGTATTCTTAAGAAAGAATAAATTATTATTTGATACAACACCGCAGTATAGGTGTCCGACTAAAAATTAATAATAAAACCGTTTTTAAATTATTTCGTGAACACGGAGAACATTTACCTGTACATCTTTTTGAAACTGGTTGTTACAATATATATGAACCCCGGTGAACTCTCGAACCTTGTCAAACTCAAATTTTATCTCGATCGCTTGACCATTCCTCGTATCATTTCTCCAACCAACCCATCCTTGACCTGAAATGTACGCAACGTTTTTATTAATGATATTATACAAATCGATTAATCAAATTAAATTAAAAATAAGCTAAATTAAATTATAACAATAGCAACGCAATTGTGTTATTAAAAATTTTTAAGCTGTACTGAATATTTTGAAACAATTATATTAACGTATTCTAATGTGACATTGGGTGTGACGTTACAAAGAAAATGTATTGTAATAATATTTTTAAGTATTATATTTTGGTGTATAGATCGAAATAACTCCGTCATTTTTTGAATGAAAAAAATATGAAATACAAGGAATAAGGTCGACAGAGTAGGGGCGGTAAATACATAACATTTTGAGATTAGCCAAATCGTCTGAGTATATGAATCGGAAAAATCAACGTTTTACCCTCTCATATAATTTGGGAATAAAGTGATCGTTTACCACGGTCCATTAGGTTGCATAGTGGACACGGGCATTGTTGAAAAAAAATTGGAATAAAAAACTATTTCTATTACACATATCTAGAGTAAGTGGTTGTTTCTCTTTTCCTATACGAAAAAAAACTTTTATTGAATTATTCATGAAAACTAGAAATACGCAACGAATATAACGATTGTGGTTTATGGAATATTTACACCGACTTCGAAAAAACTTGTCCCATGAATATATTTTAGGTTCGAAAACTTGGTATATAATATGGGCGAGTAAGTAGTTTATTATACATTAGTTTGAACTGTAATGCAATGCAAAACGTCAAATTCAATGATAAGTAGAAAAACATTTGTGTAAAAAATATTAAATACATTACATTTTATTTTTAAACTAGGGTATTCTATATTATTGGACTGTATAGATATATCTATAAACATCTTTTAAATGTTAGGTGTATACAATAATAAGTTATTTTTACCATTTAATTATACAATAATAAAATATATACTGGGTATTGATTTTCACTTTAGTTTATTTTGAAAGTGGATATATAGACTATTATGATGGTTAATATTGTTTTCTATTTTATATTCTATCGAGTATTTCACATATTCAATAAAATGAAATCAACAATATATCTAATATATCAACAATTATATCTAATAGCGTAATATTCAATATCTCAACTTATTTATCTACTTATTCTCCAATTTTGGTATTTTTTAGTAAATAATAATTATCATGTACAAAACAAAAAGTACCTCTTTCGGAGTCATAGTATCCCATTCTAAAATTTTCTTGTCCGATTTTACCATCGGTTAGTTGTCCAAGACCTCTTTGCAATTCATCATCCCAATATCCGTCGTACGTGGAATCATAGAACTCCCATTCCGGATTACGTTTATCACCTTGCGGCATCGAGTAACTCAGAATGCCGTCTGCACACAATACACGTACCATATTAATACACAGGTTATTATCAATTTGAATAATAATAAATTTATTGACATGATGATATGAAAATTAAAAATATCCTTCACACGAACAATTTATTCGAGAACAACAATATTGTATATTAACGCTACTAACCTGTCCACGGGCATCCGTAGAGCTCGACTCGCATGCACACCTGTCGGGTGTGGTAGCTGTGTGGCAAGAATCTAATTTTCGACGCCCAAATCGGAGGATTCAGTTCTTGTTTGTGTTCTAAGTACGTGTTGATGTTACCGATCAGTATCTGTAAATAATACAAATTACGTTAAATAACAATCGTATATTTTATATAATGACTTCTAGTAGGTGGGTGTAAATTCAAACCGAACAATCTGGTGAGCGAGACAAAAAGTGTTCACTATAAGTCGTCTATAATATCAAATAACATTCTTGTTTAACGTTTGTTAATAGCACTATACAAACCTAGTCGATACGTATTGCACCGTTCACACGGCGGTTTACGATCAATCGAGTATTATATAGCTAACGTTGCAGCGTTATTGCTTTAAACCGCAGCGAAATCTCGTTTTAATATGAAATCGAAAAATAAAGCTCGATACGCCAAGAGAAATGGAAAATACACGCGTATTGGAATCATATTAATGTTTACGTATGGGGGAAGGTTTTCTGTACAAGATTACAGAACACTATAATTATATTATATTTAATATCGGCTTTTGGATCTTCTTTAGACACCGAGGTGTTGTACAACATGCGTGGATGTGAAACACACGGCGAATTGTACCTCCGAGGACGATCGTAGATGACCGCACGGAGATTATTACTCGCCATAATCAATAATTGCGCGTTGGGAACTAATATTTTTCTCGAACGTGATTATATTTGTTCCGCGGACGAGGAGTATAAATGTATAATGTCTGTTGGACCGCAAGTTTGTTTGTACGCCGACCGATGTCAATTATTATAGCGTAGGCATATAAAATATTAACCAGCAACACGCGGAATTAACTCGTTTATGTTATGATCGATTCAACCGTTGATTATATGTCTATATAAGAATTTATAATATAAATTATACTCTTTCTGCACTCTAACAACTAACAAGGCCCTAACAAGTATACGCTGTAAAGCCGAAAACGTAGTATTGACGCGGGTATGATTCCGCGTGTGGTTATCATCAACAAACATTTCGGGCGAAAATAATTATCGATGAGAATGTTTACGCCACAACGAAATCTCACGGCTTAGAACTTTTGATAATAATAATTGCGTGGAGATTTAACGCAGGCCAGTGTTAAAAATAAACGATACCGTAGTGTTTCATAAATAAATATTAAATGGATGTAATATTTACCATCATTAAAACATATTATAAGCCGTTATATCTTTTTACAAACGTCGAATCAAAACAATCCGTTACACGGTGCATTCCCTACTCCGCGCACGCAAACGTTTTCGTTTCTGTAATTATATTGTTTATTTTTTTTAACTGCACACGCACAAAAATAAATCACCCGATTCCGACCGCTATACTGCTATTAGTTGGCGATAAACGATTCTTTACGTCCCATCATATTGTTATGTATAGGTATTTATAATACAGAATTATTATTAAAAATCACGATCGAAACACGAAAAATGTATTTATCTCAAGCATATTCGCACGTAAATTATACGCGTACCTATATTTATATATATACGTGATAAAAAAAGGCGTTTCACACTTTCGGGATTGTTTGTAGTTGTCCTCGCATATAAACGAGCATGTAATATATATAATAAATGGTGTGTACGCTAGCCGTAAAGACGTCCCGAAGTGTGTCTAAAAAGAAGTCGAAACGAGTTTTTACTTCTTTTGAACTCCGTATATGTACACACAGACCTCTAGGCGACGGAACAATACGTGCTCACAATAGACACATTTCACTCGAGTAGGTATCGCGCGCGCGCGTGTATACTACCGAACCTAATATATATATATGTGTGTACATATATTTTAGCGAGCGACAGTACTTTATATTTTAAGTGTATACTGCAGGGCGTTTCGCATGATCGAATTTTGACCTATATGTAGTTGTAGTATATGTTTTATGTAAACGTATACACTGTACCTACTACATATATATATATACACATTATTGAGTATTTTTTCGAGAGAGAATTCCGATCCGGTTGACTCTCGTCGTTTTTTACGAAATCATAATAATAATAGTTAACATAATTTTGATAATTTCTTTAGCCGAACCGTTTATATTATCATAAAAATGTACGCATGGGTACCTACTATAACCGTTATTTTTGTCATCCTGGACCCTAGACGAGATTATTATTATTATATTACTTTACTTATATTATCATGATGTATGCACAACACTTTATATAGTAATACTGGTATACCTACTACGCAGGATCACAGCAGTATATTAATAATATGTTTTGTTACGTGCGTAGTATGCGTAGAATCCGCGACGACAACAACGGAGGATTGTTTATTAAACGAGAGTACATCTGTTACACACAGTTTTGTATTTCGCTACAGTGATTTATTACATAAAATATCATAATGTACAACCGTTCGCTGGCAGCAAAAGCTCGACACCGCAGCTATACGGAATTAGATATATATATATGTCGACTACAGCCACACGCCTTTATCTTCGTGCTCACTCTGAAGTCCTCGTCTTCTAACACCCTACACCACCACCCTGCCAAACTCTCGTAATAATAATAATAATAATAATGATTACTGGGCTTTATGAATCATTCTCGTAGCGTGGCCTGATCTCTCTTCAATATGCGTACGGAACGGGAAACACAGCGCGTGGCAATAAAACACGATAAAATTAGCCTAGAGAGAATTTCCTCGTCACCAGATGTTGCTCGCATGATTTAGAAGCCAGGAGCTTGTTTAATATATATATAATATAACCGTGTGTGCGGTGGCGGCTGCAGTATCCGTCTTTCGCAGACGTTTGAGGTTTGCGACGTCTTCTTGGCCACAGGGCGCAACAAAGATATATATATATATATGGGGGTAATCTATGGTGGTCAAAAGCCAATCTCTGAGAAGAAAAGCAATTGTTTTTTTTTTTTTTTATGTTTATTTAATAATGTTGTACCTATCTATAGGTTCTTTGTTTTGTAAATGTAGGTAAAATTTCCCGAGTTATGTTAAAAATAAAAACATTTACGAAGATGTAGGAACATGTAATCAGTGCCAGTCGTTTCGATGAATTCACCATAAGAAAATCGTAACTTTTTTTTTATACATACATTTTTAATCATATATTATTTAAGTCAAAATTTTAGTAATTAAAAAGTTATAGAAATATTCAACTAAAATATTATAAATCGTTTAAGACACGGTAAGTACGTCATTTTTGATTATTCCTCACTGAATATCATTATAACTCGAATCGATGATATGTGTTTATTAAATTTTTTTTTTTTTTTCGTATCGAAGAACACAGTTTGTAAGGGACGACAAAAAACTCCTTTTGTGGCCCAGAGAAGACGGCCGAAATTTGATCCTAGTTGTAGACGACAACGTGTATCCACTATTGTGTATACAAGTTTGAAAAAAAATCTTGCAAAGCAATGTCCGTATAAACATCAGCGTGTATTTATACTTGTGGACGCGGTGATGCGAAGGGCAGCTGTAGGTCGTGACGTTCTCACGATGTTCATCTCTCTCTCTCTCTCTCTGTCTTTGCGCGTTTTAATTGGGACGAAAAGCCGAAAACAAATAATGAATATATTGTGTTGAACTCGGCTATCATAGGGGTCAGGTAATTTAATAATAACAAGCACGTATCTCGAAGAATCGTTGGCCAGAAGCAGGGGAGGGGTGAGAGACGCATGGAACTTTTAACGAGTTAATCATAATATGCACCACATACAAAGTTATATTATACGTATTATTTACGTGCGATAAGAGTAGAACAAATATTTTTCATAATTCGATTTCACATAACCACATGAGCAGAAATCACAGACTAGTTAATACGAAATCCACAAATATATAGTATCGGGATTCTGTTTAAAATAGAAAATCTCTAAAAAATACTTTGAATGCATTTCCACCTTTAGTAGCTAACATTGTTGAACATAACTATGACGGCATGCAAGTATAGATTTTACACGCGAAAAGAATATTAATTATAGTTACGGTTAAACAGCCGTGCCGATATTCGCTTAATCAAATAGTTCAAATGAATATATGCATTAAAATTTATAATATAATTTTTTCTCAGAGAAGGAGATGCTTTTAAGGTATTGTAAAATAAACCTTTTGTTTTTGAATACTGTATCAGCGATGACGATATTTAAAAATATTAGTCGCAAGAATTATTATAATTCGTTATGACGTTATTTGTAGAAATATTCGATTATATTAAAATTATTTTTTGGATTTCACACAACTAAACAGTAAACATGGAATTTATTAGTTTTCTAGATTTATATTTTTTAACTTAATTTATTTATTTTTGTTCGGTTGACAACACAGCATTATCAAATAATTTTATCGAAATATTATTATTTGCGTTTCGCCGCTAATGGAAAAGACGAAATTCCAATTTTATTATTATTATTTTTTTTTTTTGCGTTAACGAGATATTTTAAATATGATATAAGTTTACAATATTAAAAAAAAATAAAATAATTATTATGATAATCCGTATTGTTATACTATGATTACAGGTTAAAAATGCACGTTTAATGTCGTGTATTATTATAAATTTATACACTATTAAAACACAGCGTACCGATTTTTATAATTCGCTATTAAAATAATAGTTAATTGTCCAAAATTGCCTCGTGTATCACGATAAAATATTGTACATAATTGTGTATTTGCACTAAGGACGAAAATAAGGTGAACAACAACAGACAACATTAATTCAACAACATAGATTTTTACACTAACTATTAAAAATGAGTTTCGAAAAGTCCCGAGGCTCAGAACTAACTAGGGTTGTCGATGAATCGATGTTTACCACAGTTGTGTAGTACTATGTACGCTTATGCCAATGTGTGCGAGTATAAAATATAACAATAATTATAAATATTATGATGATGACGTTACTCATATATTACAAAACGTATACGCAGCTAGCTGTTTATATATATATATATCATAATATACTTATAGTCGAATAGGTGCCTGCGTCGTGTACGCGATTTATTCCATATAGCTGTAAGGTAAAACTCATTAAAATCAAAAACCAAACTTCAGATAATTGGAAAATTGGTATTTGAAAGTTCTGTGCATACATTAGGTAT